AATATGTATGTGTATACACACACATGCACACACACACAAACAGTGTGGTGATGGCCAGAGAAAGCGGGGTGCAGGGCGGAAGGTAGAAATGGGTAAAGCAGGTAAATGCTGATGGAAAAAGATTTGACTTGGGGTGGTGAACATACAATACCATATACAGATGATGTATATTATAGAATTGTACACCTGAAACCTATGAAATTTTATTAATCAATGTCAACCCAATAAATTCAATAAACAAAATTTTAAAATAAGTACCTATCTAAAAGTGAATAATATCATCTTATTTTGGAAAATACCCAATTTTTGCTAATAAAATTCCCATTCAGCGTGTAAGAGTTGGCCTGTGTTGGCTGATAAATGATAGGAGTTTATTGCAAAATTTACCTTTGGCCCTGGTGTGGGCCAGGGAGGGAAGATCCAGGCAGCCAAGTGCTCCCAGGCGCTCTGTCCTCCCACTTTCATTCAGTGGGCGCTGAGAGGTCGTCCCAGAGTGAATGCATTCTTTATGCGCGTGGGGAAGGGAGCCGGCAGCCAGGCTCCAGAAAGGGCCCGGTCTGGCAATACCCATCAGCACTGCCTGCAGCCCAAAGGCTGGATCCTCACTGGCCAGTGTCCCAGTACCATGAACACATGCCATGAAGCTCCCTTTTTGAAGTAGGACCCATTTAGATTTCGTGCCCTTGAACTTGCCCAAGGACTCTAGTAACACTCCTTTGCAGGCAGCATGCTGAGGGCCACATCTTCCTGTACCAACCGCATCATAAAATGGGTAACATTCCACAGGAGCCCAGTTTGATAAAGCTGTTTGCTTTATACATTTGCTTTATATATTTCATATATTTAATAAAGCTGTTTGGTTTATATATTTGCTTTGAAAACCAGTAGAAAATACTTTTGTATTTTATATAGTACAGTTCAATGATCCTATAAGTTAGCAAACTTTTGTAAGACTAGCCTGGGCATCTGACTTCTATGTTTTTTGTTTTCTAAGAATTTTATAATGAAAAAAAAATGGGATTTTATAATTTTAACTCTTACATTTAGTAAAGTGTAATCCCAGTTCCCAAATAACATATAAATGAACTTTTGGCAAACAAACTGGTTGTTTTTTTTTTTAATAAAGATTTTATTTATTTATCTTTAGAGGGGAAGGGAAGGAGAGAGGGAGAGAAACATCAATGTATGGTTGCCTTTGATGTGTCCCCTGCTGGGAACTGGCCTGCAACCCAGGCATGTGCCCTGACTGAGAATCGAACCACGATTCTTTGGTTCAATCCAGGCCCACGCTCAATCCACTGAGCTACGCCAGCCAGGGCTCCAAACTGTTTTTTTAACTCAAATTATATTTTAGGTTATGCTATTACAGTTGTCCCAATTTTTTCCCCTTTGCCCCCTCCACGCAGCACCTGTCACTCCTTCTAGCAATCCCCACACTGTTGCCCATGTCCGTGGGTCATGCATATGTGCTCTTTGGCTACTATATTCCCCATGCTGCACTTCACATCCCCGTGACTGTTCTGTAACAACTATTTGTATTCTTAATCCCTTCACCTTTTCCCACCCATCCCCCTACTCCCCTTCCATCTAGCAACTATCAAAACATTCTCTGTACCTATGATTCTGTTTCTCTTCTGCTTGTTCATTTAGTTTGTTTTAGATTCAATTATTGAGTTATGCATTTATTGCCATTTTATTGTTCATATTTTTAATCTTTTTCCTCTTCTACAGGAAGACCCTCTAATCTTTCATATAATACTGGTTTTGTGATCATGATGAACTCCTTTACCTTTTTCTTTGCCTGGGAATCTCTTTAACTGCCCTTCCATTCTAAATGAAGGATAGCTTTGCTGGTTAGAGTAATCTTTGTTGTAGGTCCTTGCTTTTCATCGCTTTGAATATTTCTTGCCAATCCCTTCCAGCCTGCAAAGTTTCTTTTGAGAAATCAGCTGATAGTCATATGGGAACTCCCTTGTAGGTAACTGCTTTTCTCTGCTGCTTTTAAGATTCTTTGTTAACCTTTGGCATTTTAATTATGATGTATCTTGGTGTGGGCCTCTTTGGGTTCATCTTATTTGGAACTCTGTGCTTCTTGGGCTTGTATTTCCTTCACAAAATTAGGGGAGTTTTCTGTCATTAGTTTTCAAATAGGTTTTCCATTTCTTGCTCTCTCTCTTTTCCTACCAGCACCCTCATTATGTGAATGTTGGAATGCTTGTAGGTGTCCCAGAGGCTCCTTACACTATCCTCATTTTTTTGTATTCTTTGTTTTTTCTTGTTCTGATTGGGTGTTTTTTGCTTCCTTATATTCTAAATAGTTTATTAGGTTCTTGGTTTCATTCATTCTACTGCTGATTCCTTGTAAGTTGTTCTCATTTCAGGCAGTGTATCCTTCATTTCTGACCAGTTCTTTTTTATGGTTTCCATGTTTTTTTTATACTATTGATGTTCTCACTAAGTTCACTGAGCATCCTTATAACCAGTGTTTTGAACTCTGGATCTAGTAGATTGCTTGTCTCCATTTTGTTTAATTCTTTTTCTGCAGTTTTGTTCTATTCTTTCATTTGGGCCATGTTTCTTTATCTCCTCACTTTGACATCCTCCCTGTGTTTCTAGGTAGAGCTGCTACAACTCCCTGGCTTGGAAGTGTGGCCTAATGTATTAGGTGTCCTGTAGAGTCCAGTGGCACAGGCTCCCTGTCACCCACGCTGAGTACTCCAGGTGTACCCACTGAGTCGGATGTGTACACCCTCTTCTTGTAGTTAAGCTTTGATTGCTGTTGGCAGGTCAATGGGAGGGATTTACCCAGGCTGATCAGCTGCAAGAACTGGCCAGGACCACGAACACAAAACACAGATCACCCTGGAGGATCAGCTGTGCGGGGCCCCACTCCCCAGAGCAAGACTTACTTCAGCAGGGCCCCAGTGCCTCCTGAGTCTGCCCCTAGAGTGTGTCACTTGTGGCAGTGGTTGGGTAGTGGTGCTCTGACATGGTCTGCAGCTTCCCCCTGAGTGTGCAGGCTCTGGGGCCTCCCAGAAGGGGCAGGCCAAGGCCGGCCACCACCTGTGTTCTATCCGAAGCCACCCAGCATAAACTGTAAAGTGATCTGCACTCAGTTGCTACTTGTAGGGCTTGGAGGTGCCCAAGCCAGTTCAAGCTTTGAACCAAGGCCAGCTCCTGCTAGAGCCAGGCCTGGGGCCACTTAGCAATAGGTGCAGGGCATGCTGAGGCCAGATGCTGCTTGTCTGAGAGAATTTAGGAAACCCTGAAGCATGCATGAGCCAAGACAAGTCATTCATATGGAAAAGCCACTGCAAACAGCTTGGGTGGGCCGGAAAGTTGGCTGGGGCAGAGCCTTGGGGAATAACCAGGGAAGGGCAAACAGAGTGAACCAGGTTGACGGAGTCTCAGATGTGGCGCCTACTTGCCCACTCTGTTGGAGGAGGGCTCAGAAAAGGAACAGTGACCTCTGTCAGCACTTCTGTCTGGGAGCAAGGTGCCCCCCAGCTTTCACACTGATGCCAGACACTTCAGTTCCTCCCCAAATGTCTCTGGTGCCTTTTAATCTGCTGCTCCCATGCTGGAGCTCAGAGGGAATGAGTTCGAGTAAGTCTGTGTGGGGGCCGCTTAAGAGGAACTGCCTGGGACTCTAGCAGTTTGTCTTCCACAGCCTCAATTAACCTGGTTTTTACAGCCAGAAGTTATGAGGACTTACCTTCCTGGCATTAGATCCCTGGGCTGGGGGGCCTGGTGAAGGGCTGGAACACCTCACTCCTGAGATATCCCTCACGAATTTTATCTGCCACACATGGGTGTGGAACCAGCCCGTTACACATCTCCACCCCTCCTACCAGTCACAATGTGGTTTCTTCTTTCATTCCATAGCTGTGGGACTTCCATTCAGCTTTATTTCTGGTCATTTTCAACAATGGTCACTCTGTAGTTTAGTTGTAATTTTGATGTGGTTGTGCAAGGAGGCGAGCCCAGCTGTGTTTATCCATGCTACCGTATTGAATGGTAATCCCCGTTTTCTCACTAATAAACTCTTTGTAAAGTGGGAAATTACTGTGCTTTTTAAGTTTATCACTTTTATTTATCTTCTAAAATTTTATCTTTATCTTTTTTTAATTTACTCGTTTCCATTTTCTGTACCTAAAAGTACATGATTGCATTCTAATCTATGTCATGTTTTCAGTATTATAGAAGCTCTTGTAAGGAAATCTCATCGGAGTCTGAACATGCTGCTAGTTCTCCCCCTGACCTTTCCTGTTACTGACTTAGACATCTTATTCTCATGTCCTGGGCAGAGACGTGGACTCCTCTTTACTCTGAACTGCACCAAGAACATTGTCAGCCTTCAATAAATATTTCAAAGCAAAAACACCTGCAGCTTCTCAGACAGTGTGCAGATGGGCTGGTCCCGGGGCTGAGCGTCCCCAGCCCACCCTAAGTCCCCAACCCCATCAGCAGGACCATTTTGTAGCAGGACGAGGGGAGGGGTCTGCCTGACCCAGGAGGAAGCTTTAGGCCTAAACTAGGTCTGAATTATCTGTGACTTTTCTGTGCTGTCCATTCTTCAGTGAAATGGGTGTGAAGTGGCCCCTGGTGACCCCTTTCTGTTGTTCAATCCCAATTAACACCAAGAAGAAAGATGGGATCTTCAATGTATTCTACCCCACCTTATTCTCCAAAGTGTGATCTCAACAGGTTTCTGTCCTCAGGGATGTCACTGAGGGTCCAGACATGCACACAACCAGCCTGCCACTGCTGAGAATACTGTGCCAAGAAGCTAGGAAGGGCTGTGAAAGGCGGGTGGGGGGAGGTTGCTTTTTTACCTGGGGCAGGAGGGAATGTGAAGGGCTCTGAGCCAGCCCTTAAGATGGGCAGGACTTTGAAGAGAAGCCAGAAAAGGGCATTTCAGGCAGAGAACAGCATGTGCAAGGTCAGGGGGATAGGAGAGCACCCATGTTTTTAACTCCTGGTGCCAATCTCTGTTTCAGAGGAAAGCCAGCCGGAATATAAAAGGCGAAGACAGGAACAAGGTCACCAGCAGGAGCATTGGACTAGACACGGCTACGTCCCCACCTGCAGAGAACAGAAGCCCAGCTGCGGAGGGCCCGCTGTCCCCTCCGGGAGAGCACTGGCCGAAGGAGAAGAGGCCGGCACAGTGCAGCAGCTTCTCGGGGTTCAGCAGCAGTGACAGTGCCCTGCGGGAATTCGAGGACGGACCCTTTGACCAGGAAGATGGGGTGACTCAGGTCACGTGCATGTGAGCCTCGCAGCAAAGCAACAGAAGGCCCTGTACGTGATTAAATAACTGCCAGCTGACGTGATTGTATTACTGTATCTGCATTTACGGAATAGTTTGAATTCTTCCAGGCTCAGGCTGACTTCTAATCTCGGAAAACTTTGGCTCAACCTCCCAGACAAGGAAGAATAACCAACACATTTGTAAATTTAGAATCATGTTTACACTGTTCCCAAATAAAAACATCTGTTTAAACAGATGTTTCATTAGGTTATTAACTGATAATCTACTTCCTACAATTCCCTAAGTATCTCAACCAGTATTTCACCTAATTAGAAAGATCTCAGGAACTTAGAGTTTTACATAAACTGAAAAATAATGTCTCTCTCTCTCTCTCTCTGACTCTCATTCACACACACACAAACACACACACACATGCAGGGCTAATAATGAAATCCCTATTTCCTGAATATAACAATAAATCCAAATTTTGTCTTTAACCATGGAATGTATAAACAAAACAAACCCTATTTGTTAAAATATTCTTTGAAAAAACATCTTTTTGTTATGTCCTTGCTTTCCAAAGGTCACCGTGTTACCAACCCTGTACTGACTCACGGACTGTAAGCTCTGTTGTTTATATCGGCCAGAGTAGGGAGAACAAAGCAGCTTTCCTTATATTCAAAGGACCCAGTCTCAATATTTAAAACCTTAGTTCACGGGAAGAATTAATTGTATATTGCAAAGGTATGAAAAGGGAAAACATCAACTTAGTGGAAACTGAAGTCCCAGTTCCATCTGTGTAGGTTTGAGCTGTGCTCTCATTTCGATGGCTGCATCGTGAGGGAGGTGGAAGTCTCCCATCCTGGGGAGTGAGAGCACTGACCCGCCGTCCCACCTCGGCTTCTCGTGCGCTGCTACAGGGGCGCCTCTGCCTTGCCCTGTGTTTACCAGGTGAAGATTAAAATTCTACAAAATAGAGGGTTTTCATTGTTCTGTGAAAGTCTTACGTTGAAATGTGGGAACCTTCAAATGAATTACAACTGACTTTGCCATTTATGAATTCAACATATTATATAATTTTATTAGCAGTGGTGTTGACATTATAAGATCATCTGAATAATAAAATGTCATTTGTTACTGGGCTATCATTTTATTAACACAAATGTTTATATTTTATACATTTTATGTATTATGTTTTATCAAATATATAGTATAACTAACTAGGCCAATCTCCATGAATTGTAGATAAGGTTAACATGATATTATTCCAATTGTACCATGCAGAAGCATTACCTTTATAGGTGCAAAAAAAATTTAAGGCCCTGGCTGGTGTGGCTCAGTGGATGGAGTGCTGGCCTGTGAACCAAGGGGTCACCGGTTCAATTCCCAGTCAGGGCACATGCCTGGGTTGCAGGCCAGGTCCCCAGTGGTAGACACAGGAGAGGCAACCACATATTGATGTTTCTCTCCCTCTTTCTCCCTTCCCTTCTCTCTAAAAATAAATAAGTAAAATCTTAAAAAAAATTTTTTTTAAAGAATATTCTGCTCAGAATTATTCTGTGGAAATGGCCATTAACAATATTTGCAGAAATGTTTTTTGCTTTGTAGATAAACCTAAGTTCCATATTCAAGAGTTGGTGAATTTTTGGTAGAAACAAGTATGACTTCTGTAGCCCACAAAATGCCATGAATTATGAAACGCAGAAAAGATACTCAGAAAAAGAAGCCAACAGCTTTTCCCAACGCCAAGGTCTACAAAAGGTAGAGACTTCTATATCATTATGTCAGTACACAGAGGGGATCTGAAGTAAAAGCAGATAGAAATTTGTGTCTGCCCTGGCTGAGGTGGCTCAGTGAATCGAGTGCCGGCCAGCGGACCAAAAGGTTGCAAGTTTGAGAGGCAAATTGCTGATTCTCTCGAACATCATGTTTCTCTCTCACTTTCTCCTTCCTTTCCCCTCTTTCTAAAGTTTTGGCCCAGATGGAGATGTAAGTAGATACACTTCACTTTCTTGCACAAACAAAGGAAGTATAACGAACTGAAAAACAGAAAACAACCAGAAATGCCAGAAAACCAAAATGTATGAAAGTCCAAAAGCAAGGAGTTAAAGAAGAAGCATTCACCCGGACCAGCAGGAGGGGCGGAGATGAGCAGCCAGACAGAGGACTCACAGCAAGGTGGCGGCTGGCGGACAGGGTGGTTCCACACTTGCACGCAGATAAGCCAGGAGGAACAACTCAGGAGCGAGACAGACTGTGCAACCCAGGGCCCCAGTGCGGGGAAATAAAGCCTCAAAACCTCTAACTGAAAACACCTGTGGGGTTGAGCTGGCAGCAAGAGAAACTCCCAGCCTCACAGGAAAGTCTATTGGAGGGGCCAAGAGTGTCCTAGAACAAACACAGGCCCAGGAGTCAGCACCAGGAAGCACCTGAAAGGGCACAGTTCGGTTATGGGAAGCAGGGAAAGTGACTGAAAACGGCGAGAGCCAAGCAAGCAGCACTGTTCCCTCTTCTGTCCCCCACATACAATGCCACAACACAGCAAAGTGGGTTGCCCAGCCCTAGTGAATACCTAAGGCTCCACCCCCTACAATGGAACAGGTGCACTGAGTCAAAGAAATATAGGCCAAATGAAAGAACAGATCAAAGCTCCAGAAAAAAATACAACTAAGCAACAAAGAGATAGCCAACTTATCAGATACATAGTTCAAAACACTGGTAATCAGGATGCTCAGAGAAACGACTGAGTACAGATGCAAAATAAAAAAGGAAGTGAAGGCTACAGTGAAAGTGAAACAAAGGAAAATAAACAGGGAACCAACAATGAAGAGGAGGAAACAGACTCAAATCAACAGTCTGGAACAGAAGGAAGAAATAAGCATTCTCTGGAACAGAATGAAGAAACAAGAATTCAAAAAAATGAGGAGAGGCTTAGGAACCTCCAAAACAACCTTAGACATTCCAACATCCAAATCATGGGGGTGCCAGAAGGAGAAGAGGAAGAGCAAGAAATGGAAAACTTATTTGAAAACATAATGAAGGAGAACTTCCCCAATCTGGCTAAGAAAATAGACTTCCGGGAAGCCCGGGAAACTCAGAGAGTCCCAAAGAAGTTGGGACACACCAAGAAAGCACACAAGGCACATCATAATTACATTAGCCAAGATTAAAGAGGAGAGAATCTTAAAAGCAGCAAGAGAAAAGGAAACAGTTACCTACAAACCAGTTCCCATAAGACTATCAGCTCATTTTTCAAAAGAAACCTTGTAGGCAAGAAGGGGCTGGAAAGAAGTATTTCAAGTCATGAAAGGCAAGGACCTACATCCAAGATTGCTCTATCCAGCAAAGCTTTCATTTAGAATGGAAGGACAGATAAAGTGCTTCTCAGATAAGGTCAAATTCAAGGAGTTCATCACCAACAAGTCCTTATTATGTGAAATGTTAAAGTGACTTATCTAAGAAAGATGATCAAAACTATGAACAGTAAAATGATAACAAATTCACAGTTATTAACAACCGAACATAAAACAAAAACAGAAACAAACTAAGCAAACAACTAGAACAGGATCAGAATCACAGAAATGGAGATCACATGGAGGGTTATCAGTGGGGGAGTGGATGGGGAGAGAGGGCGAAAAGGTACAAGGAATAAGTAGCATAAATGGTAGGTAGAAGATAGACAGGGGGTGGTTAAGAATAATGTAGGAGATGTAGAAGCCAAAGAACTTATATATATGACCCATGGACATGAACTAAAGGTGGGGGATAATGCGGGTGGGAGTGGGTGTGCAGGGTGGAGGGGAATAAAGAGGGGAAATGGGACAACCTCAGTGGCATCATCAGTAAAATATATTTTAAAAATCTTGAGACGATCAGGGCAGAGGATCTCAGATGGTACAGAGCAGCAGATGGCTGTGTCAGGGCCTGAGATCAGGGGGTGCAGATGGGTCCTCATCAGTAGGTATAGGGTTTCACAGGCAATGGGAGAGAGTAGGCAATAGGGAACTCACGCGGTGGAAATTCTTCACCTGTAGAGAGAGATCTGTTCCTGCCTTTTGCCCTCCACTGGGCCTCCCCCTCACCATCGCATTTCCAGGCCACATTGGTCCCTTTCTGCACTCTATTGAATAATGAGTTTATTTCCGAGTAAGTATATAATAAGCTCTAGGGTACTGGGGAGTCCTAGAATCTTGCAAATGAATGGAGGCCAAGAGTGGAGAGGACGTGATGCCTGGGATTTGAAGGGCCATGACAGCCGAAAGGCACACTCTGGCAGCCCCTTCTTCCCACACTTTAACTTTCTACTTCGCAAGCTGTGGCCTCTGCTAAAGCCTCAGTCACGTGACCCCGATTAATAGTCACATTCACCTTGATACTATCCTGTTAAACATGAGCTTTCCATTCTTTGCTGATGGGTTCTTCCCACAGTTACTGCCCGTTATCTGGGAACTGGTATGTAATTAAAATAACAAGGACTTAGTCTCTACCCTTGCTCTAAAATTTGGCATCTTATTCAGAAGTAGTGAACCCCATTCATTTCACCCATAATCCTCTCCCCAAGAACCAGCAATCCCTTTTCACAGCTTCATACTACATCTCCCCTGCTCCACGCGGTGCTCGAAAAGCCCCTCTTCCTCATTCCCCCAAACCATCACCAGTTATTTTAAATCTTGTTGTATTAATACGTTTAACTACATACATACATTCAGCACCGAAGAAAAACCTTCACTGATTGCTAATGGACAGGTTGTGAATATGGCTTAGAAAAAACGTATTAATGTGAATAAGCAACAAGGATATTTTAAGGAGGTCATTGCCAAGACTTATAGCTTCTTTATCTCTAACTAGACATGATTTTTTTTACTTCATAGAATTTTAAAACTCTAAATTGTAAGATATTCCAAATTTACCTAGGGAGAAATTGAAAATCTATAGTTAAAGATGCACTTTTCCATAATTCCTATCCTTTTAAGGTCACAAATATCACATTTTCTTTATTCTCATTCATCTTGTTTCTAGCTTCCGGAAGGCTGTGCTGTCCACATAATTGTAATCTAAAGTTTATTTTATAATTTACTTCCAAGATCATAAACAGTCCTTAAATTGCTTCACTGGCTTAACTAGACAAGATGCAAATGTATTTTTACCAGGAGAAAGACTTCTTTTAAAAGAAACCCTCCATGAAATATGTCCTCTGCATTAATAGCTAAAGATTTTTTTAATTTATTCACTCAACTGGATCTAGATTATTATAAACTGCATCTCATATTTTATGTAGATCACTTGATGCATAAGCAGAGAAGGGCCAAGTGACAACTCCAATGTACAATTGACGCAAAGCAGCACATTTGGGCCCAACTTGAGAAATCCATCAGGTTAGTACTTGGTTGTATAGGAAGCCCTGGGGAAGAATGGGTACATTGTGAAGCTTTGGGCATACTTGTAAATTAATAGCTAATAAAAGCTAAAGGTAAATGGGATTTTAGCCAGTTGATGGCTGGCCTATTTTTACAAGAATTGTAAGAAGGACAAGGGACTGTTCATAATCAGCCAAAATCACAGAGGTGATTAAGATACACTTGGAAATAAATCAGGGATTTTGGAAGTCCCCAAACATCCCTACTGTTGAGTGTACCACACACTGAAATACCACATACTCTATTAGATGAACAGATTTCACACAACTCCTAACTCTAACCTACTCCCAGAGACTTACATGACTACGATGTTAAACTCTGGCCCCAAGAAGCACTTTTGGGCGTATAGAATCGCAACATGCAAGTTAACTTGGGTGTTTTAAGAGTGGAGATTACCTGAAGGTGTGTGTACCTTTATAGTGCTGGTACTACTGAGCAGTTACATGGGAGAGGACGTTGGTTTCCTGGGCCCTACCAGACGAACTTTTCCCTATTTTCACCTCTTCTACACTAACTTCCACTTCCTTCAGGGAGTTGAGGCCCCAGTTCTGTACCAATTGTGGGAGATCCGGACAATCACTGAAACACTGTGGCTTTGGTTTGTTGTTTTGTTTTTAAATCTGTAAAACAAGAGAACAAGAAATGGCTGCTTAACTCAATATTCCCTAGGGTCCCTCTTCTAGTTTGGAATATGTTTTGCTTATCACCTTCTCAGGATTTGCTAAATAAGACCAGCACAAGGGAGGCCTCTTAGTTGTGCTAAGAGGTTGCCAACTCTTTAAACTGGGCTCCCCATATAAAGGAAACCCAAGCAATTCACGAGTGGTGATACAAAGGCTGGATTTAATACCTGTACCGCCCCCAAACAGATAAATACGCTCCTTAGTCTAGAATATGCTAAACACAGCTGGTACAAAAGTCTGACAGCATCAAAATCACTTTTCTGCCAAGTGCCCTAAAGATATCAGGCCAGTTAGTACTCATTTCTTCAGAAAAGAAACACCAGCCCTGATCGTTGTGCTCAGTTGGTTGGGCATCATCCTGCAAAGTGAACGGTCCCGAGTTTGATTCCTGGTCAGGGCATG